AAACCAGAAGTGAACGACTTTTGAAAGTCATTCATTGGCTGGAGTAGCGGTTCAAGTGTATTAGAACCCAGGGGGGTCATGCTCAATGGACGTGAGGTCTGCGATGCGACTGGCGTGTCGAGTCACTTCACCACGGCCCTCTTGCATACATAAACAGGTCATTGTTCTCTGTGCCCGATGAGGTGCTCGTGGGGGTTCAAGGTTCTTGTGGAATACCATGGAGGGACTCCCTATGGTGAGGTGAGGCGCTGCCTGGCCGCATTCCAGAGCGATACAATCACAGAAATTGCTGCTGTTGCGGCTTTGAACGGGGTCAAGTTCGTAGAGTGAGATGGTGACTCGCCTTCACTCCCTGCGACACATTCCACACGCGCTTTTCTCTTCGATCTGTTCTCCCCCCCCACCCTTCTGACGACAGTCAATGTTTTAATCATTCTTCGACAGGCATTGTGTAAGCATGAAATGGGAGAAATACGCCGCTGTTGTATCGACGGCTGCTGGGTCTTTGAGTCGTTGTCATCATCGTTGGCGTACAGAGAACACGTTTTCATTACCCAGCTGATATCTTATCATCCGGGTGTTGGCTTGCGTTAGACGGCTAGCGTCAACTCGTGAGGGACATTGCGCGGCTATTTGCATGACTGCCTTGTCAAAATACTCTGAATGGATCAACGGCCTCCTTGAGACCACCCGTTGGTCGGGGTCAACAACAAACAACTTATGAAGTCCGTCATATATATCCAGCCCAGCCGGTGGCAAGTTTTCGACGACAAATTAATGCAACAGGTCGGACTGCGACCGCGGCTAATTGGTTTAACGAAAACGGGGTGAAGGGAAGGGGGGGGGCGGGTTGTCGAATAGCTCCCGTTGCTTTGCGGTTCCTAGTCAGCGGATTAGGGATTTTCGGTAGAGACAATGCGTGTCCAGAACAGCTGCTCATATGCACCTGCACAAAGCACAGCTCTCCAGGCTTTCGATTTTCGGTTCCTTTTAGGAAGTTTGTTTAGTCGGCGGCGAATCCACTAGGTAGTGACCCGTAGTTCCTACGCAATATTTATCCACGGATTTGTCCACTACCAGGGCCAAAGCTGACTCGGGTATAGCTGGGGTTATCGATCGATTAGATGGTATGTGCTAAAGGGGTTATCGCCTCATTATACGGTATGGTTTCGGTGGTGTCCGTGGCAGATGGTCCGCATCTGGCTGCAATTACTCAATCAACCCGACTCAATACCACACGCACAATCCCTCTCGGGGTTCAACCGTATGTGAAAGGCCAGTTGAATCGATGATTTCTCTATGTCGATTTATGAGGACATCTAGGGTGAACCGGATTAGACGGGAGAATGAGAGGAGGGAGAGTCATTTCCAGTGAGCGAGGCTGTTTCGTAGACAAAAAGCCTTGAACCCGGTAATTGAACTGCACTAAAAAGTTCGCCGTTTACGTTTCCAGAAAAGTTGACTTGTCACCCGACTAGGAGAGAGCAAGTCTGTGTGAAACAGGACGCATCATTGAACCCTCGCGTTATGTGAAAGCGCCAGTACGACCCCTGATCTTCAGTGGCCAAATCGGAACCCCCGTTGTTTTTCCACGATGATGTACCTTTCTAAGGAATCCTCATTGCGAAGGCAGAAAACCATTTCTCAATTCAGAGCGGCGCTATTCCGCCACGGGGGGTATTTTGTAAACTGCTGTAAGCGTGCCGGGTCATGTGAAGTACTGGAAACTGTTGTACAACTACGAAATAGTGACACGACAGATACGGCTTCTTTGAAAGAACACCGCGGGCGGTTGAAACCGCAAACAATAGACGAACGGACATTCTTTTTGACAATAAAGGTTCGTTTAGAATCAAAATGCTTCATGGTTTTCACTTCGAGCATAAGGAATAACGAGTTGATTTACTAGCCCCCGGAGCCCCCTCTCGGCTTAGCTTTGCAGAGAGCCCTCACAAAACTGACCAAACGTATGCAGAAGGGAGGAGGAGTTCACGGAACGTTTTCATCTCGTCTTAGTCTCGTACAAAGAATGATAAACTCTTCGCCGTTGATTGAACCCCTTTTGGGATGTAGCACCCATTATTCTTCCGTTCAGAATCGTAGTGACTTTTGAATACGATATGGCCTATACAATGCCATCTGGCTGGGCCAGCCGCATGTAAAACGGAGTCAGTGTTCCCTCCCCAGACGAATGCATTGGCAATTCAATCGTTCGCTGTTCGCGCTCGTCTCTCGCGCTCCATGGACAGAAGGCGATCGACGAATGGACCCCAGGAGCACGCGCATGGTAAGCATGCCGCTTGCCACTACATCACCTCCTTTCCTGGTTTACTTACTTGTACTTATTTCAACCGCCAAAAGCAAGTAACAGGTTATCAAACTTGGTAATCAGGGAATTCTGTAGATACCTGGAATAATAGATGCGATTCACCGGCATGTGCATGCTGTATAGCAGCTCAAACTAATGCCATCAAAGCACGACCTGCCGTTTGAGGGGGTTTTCGCAAAACAAGAAAAAAAAAAACCCTTGCTCAATAAATCTTTCTTGGTTACGACACCCATTTCTCCTTCATCCTATCTACTCCCTCTTTCTAGCTCTCAAGCCTCCTCCCATTCGCAGGTGGGAGTACACTTGCAAGTTACCAACTTTTGCTCCGCTTTCTCCCCAAAAAAAACCCGCTAAACCGTAGACGCGGAGAGAGGCATGGGGAGGCATAAAAAGCACGCGAAAACCTTGGAAGAAACGAGAAACTTAATAAAACGAGAACATTGTCAACTGTAAAGAAGGCCCCCTCCCCTCTGATGCCCCCCGAATGAGCCGTCTCCCGACGCCTATCTCCAAGCGCGGAGGCTGCCGCCTGTGCGACGCTGCTCTAACTGCCATGCAAGATACGTTGGTACTACTTACGTTTCTCTCTATGAACTCATTGGAAAGCGCCGTAAAAGGCGCTATTCTCGTCGATCGCGGTCAGTGCTGAGCTTTTTTTCCTGTTGTTTACCAAACAGGGTAAATGCATCGAAATAAGATGGTTTATCAGCGGTTATCACTCGGCCGCCGACACCATGATATAATGTTCTCCGCATTCCTGAATTGTCCACGCTTTGAAAATAATCCACTTCACACGTAGAAACGGCTTATGATGTCAAGACGGCCGCTTAGACGGCCGCCGCTTATTTGAGATTCCGATTGCTGCAAGACGAGCCTGATGCCTCATTAATTCCAGGACTGACTCGGTACTGAGTATTTTACTACGGCGGTTAAAGTGGGTGGTCTGCCCCTTGAGGACAAATATTCTTTCGCTGTGAGTGTCAGGGTTCGCCAAGGGTAATACGAAGTTATGTTCAAGGATGCCGCTCTGCGATTAAACCCCTTCTTCGTTGGCTGAATCAGAACCCTACATGAAGTCCAGTGGATGGCCTGGACGAAAAGAGCGCGCATGTCGTATTCGCGACAGGGAATTCCTTTATGGACGTAAGCAGCGGAATGCTAATCAGTTTACGGCGTAAGCTAGCAATGCAACGTAGAAGAGAGACTCTTTTATGACGTTGTCACAAAAGTTCTGGGTTTCGGAAAAGTCCTTTGCCTCGGTCAGTCCTGAACTTCTTTCCCGTGTGGGGTGCCCTTAAATGGACCACAGAGGCTACAGATCCTCTCGGAGGGTTTGCTTATGGCCACATTATGAATTTCGGAAGCAAAACGATTATTGCCAATAATCTGCGTGTGAAAATTACGACGATGCTTCGGCTTGGAGGGGCATTTGTAACACCTGTCCTTATCTGCCTTACTTAGTCTGGTTCAAATAACAGGACTCATTCTGTAGAGACTTCTAAACTAGAGTGAATTTGCTCAATAGTAAAAGTACTCACTTTGGCAACAATTTACCGGTTCTCAAAGGGTGGTCTGTACAAGGTTCGCTAACAACGTTTGGTACCCAGCAAACCGATCTGCGCTGAATTTACTTCTCAACTCATGAGAATCATTGATAGTGTGTGCGGTGGTGTAAAGGGAAGGGCTGGTACTCCTTCATCACTCTTTTTTTCATGAATTTTTTTTCCTACAAAAAGGATAACGCGTGATAGTAATGCTGAAAGCCGCACTGCCGCTAAGCGTTTCTGACTTCCACTCTAAATCTTGGAATCGACCATTCGAACTTAACCAAGCTTTTCTGTCCCGGATAACTTGCGTACCATCCTCGTAACCTGGCGGAAGTAGTTGAAAACCACTGGCTTGTCCGCGAGGGCCACCCGCAAATCCTATAAGGCGAAATCGGCGATTGAAAGGTGCAATTGGCGACTGTGAATTGGAATCCGAAAGTCCGTGCGCCATCCCAAAAAGAGACTTCGAGCGGCGCCGGTTGCTACTATCCTTCTGAGTTTTTATTCTAATCCTTTCGGAATGCTCTCATGGCCACAAAGAGTAAACCCTCACCTGGTTGCTCCATTCCGAATCAATCACTTTAATGTACTAAAATTGAGCTCGCGTACCTCTATAAGTTCAGTACCTTCAGATATAATTTCATTTCTTGTACGTGTAGAAACCTTTTCACAGTAAGCTGTTTGTTATGATAACTGCTGTTTTACGCCAGTTAAACGTGTGAGTGCTGTAAGGTTACGGCATAAGCCGTTAAGCTGAGAGGGTAAAAGCGGCCCTGGTGGCGTAACGGATAGCGCACTCGCCCGGAAAGCGTGAGGTGCGGGTTCGACTCCCGCCTGGGGCCGGACTTATTGCCCACACCTCAGGCATCCATGTTGGATATCTTTTTCATAGATTAACCACAAAAATGCGGCGATCATCGTGCCAAAGACTCGAAACCCGCCGCCAAACGGAAACTCCTTTAAACAAGAACGACAAGTATCTAGACATGTTTAAGCCATGAATTACTTGAGCGAGTTATTGCGAGAACGCTTGGTGCTTCTTTTCCTGACATGTTGTTCTGCCACTTCAAAGAATTTGTAGTGGGAGCACTGCACCTCAAGTGACTTCTTTTCAGCTCTCACTAATGGAAAACGACATGTCTCTCCTACAACAACTGCTTACATTGGGCGATCAAATCACTGAAATGAAAAGGCTCAAGGAACAGAGTATGAGAAAAAGTCAAAGTCACACGAGTCTAGGTGATGACGATGATTCAGAGGTACTACTCATCCCCTCTTCTCAGTACTGCTATCAACTCATTGAATTTTAGTTACAGGATCAGTTTGAGGACGAATTTTCGGCATCCATGTCAGCTGTGACAACGCTGAAAGTCGGTGAAAGTGAACCACAGTACTTTTCACGGCAAAACAGCGTCCTAAGAATTCCCATCCCTCCACGAAGTAGCAATCGATTTGGGCACAGGAAAATTGTAAGTTCTATACGATGATTTCTTTGAAATTTTTGACTTTTCCAGTATACCCGATGTCTTTCAGCCACGACGTCCATCGGAGATGATGAGAACGGTGCCGTCGTTTGCACATTACACCGCTTCTGCTACAATGCATTCTGACGACGTGGTCGAAGCCGTCGTCGCTTCTGCCAAAGCGGTCGAATGCTGCCCAATCGATCCAGCATATATAACAAAGAATCGCTCGTCGAATTCGTCGATCGATTCCGGTATCAGGGAATCGAGTTCTTCAGAATCTCCGTCGCCCACTTTTGGTAAAGCAGTCGTGTGACTTTAGTCTTGAACACCTGCAGGTCACCCGGAACATATGGGACAGATTCAGCCATAGATTATGATCTAATCCAATGTGTATTTGTGTGTGTGTTGTTGTTGTCGATTCTTCGCTGTTACCGGTATGTGATTTCGCCTCGTGACTCACGGAGTCTCAGCTGCTTATATCTCTCCCCTCTTGTAGCTAGGTGTACTTCAAAATCCCTGTATCATTCCTCAAGTTCATTCCTGAGAATCATGGAATTATTCGTGAAAATCTAATGAATTGTTCTGAATAAGTCGTCGTCAAAGTGTTCAGGCAGATAGTGAAGGTGATTTGATGGCTTCGGCTTCTTCGACTAAGTGAAACTCGGCCAATGGGCGGTCGCCGGTCGACCGATACGAACAGATGAGTACCTGGAAAGTAATTCATCGCTGTTAAAGTGCACATTTGAATTGAGAGAAAAATGAGATGAAATTTGATAAGATGTTATCGATCTAGATCTGTTTATTGGGCAATTCTCAAAAACGTCACGCAAAAAATAGCCAGTTGCGCTCGATTGCTGGAACCCTCGTCGAGACCCATTCAAGGGCACTATTATACAGTTGTAGATTGATTACATTGAAAAACACAAGCAATGGAGAAGAGTAATGGAGGGGTTTTTCAGCGCACATTCTCATCCTTCCTGCTGTATCGAATCAATCATTTTTTACTAGCATGGCTTTTTTTTCGACCGTGGTAGGTCTGGACAGAATTAAGGGCAATTAACTTGTGAAACTTGTGCGGAGCATTTGAAGCGGAACAGATTCGTCCAGAATTGCTGCTTTTCTCCGCACGCAATTCAATCGGTATATTCTGTAACTGCAACGATACATTTTTATTGGTCGAAAAAAATAATATAAGGAAAAGCTAAAAAGAACCAATTAGCTCAGGGTGATGGTAAGCAGAAGTTCCTCACCTCACTGCTGAAGTATGCCCCTCTCCATTTACCCTTCACGACCCCTCTCTGCGGATGTCCCAGGAATTTAGCCGCAATCTTAACCCCAACACAAATCTTGGACTGATTTGATCCTCTAAGTGTGAACATCCTATCGGCCAAGCACTCGCGTCAGAGGTTCCAGCGCTATAGGCCTGCTTCTCGGCCCAGACTTCGGGCGTTGATATAACTGGGAAAAACTCTTCCCCTGCTGTAGCCATATAAGAAGCGCTTCAGACACCTCCAATTTACAAAGAAAAGAAATTAAATGTTTTGAGAAAATACTTGAAAACAAGGATGGGTCGCTTTTTTTCTCTTTCCTCAGGCAAACTCTCGTTATTTCGTCAATGTGGGGCTCTTCAATGAAGTACATAGTTTTGACGAGAAAAAGATGATCGGGTGAAAGCCAGCGCCTGCAGCGAGTGTTCTAGGACCTACCGAGCATATTTTGGCCAAACAGCAACACGAACCTAATCCTATTAACAAAGTTGGATTCAAATTTTGATGACTGCGGTCGTGATGGTCAAATAGTGCCGTACCCCTATGGTGACATGGACGTCTTTGAGAAAACAAAGGCCCCTTTCAGGGTATGCTATTGCCACCTAAAGGCGCACTTTGCCCTGACAATGAGCTGATCTATGAGAAACTGCAACTCAATCCATTTAATAGCCCAATTTTCTGTTTTTCTCAGCGCTCTCACGTGACTAGCGTTCTGTGACCTTTTATATTCCAACTTTTCACGCTTATAACTGGCTCCTCCACCCGCTGTCGTTTCCGGTCGTACTTCCTTGGAAAAAATCTGATCTTCCTGGCTCGAGTATCAGGCAGTTTTCTGCAGTATCATCTGTCTCTTCTGCCTTTTCGGCAGCTGGATGCCCATCATGAAGTTTGATTGTCCACGTAACTCCAACGATCTATATGAGGAAACTTGGCAGCTAAACATTCTTATAATGCATTCGATGAAAATAAACAGCTGGTCGGACCGTGTGAAGGGCTTTTGTTGTTGAAACAGGATTGGATCCCACAGACGGGTGGAAGTGGTGCGCCATACCGTGACAGTCTTAATATGAAGTCGAGAAATTTTTTGGCGTTCGAATTGAAAGCATTAGTTCATAGGCAAGTGTTTGCCAATCGATAAATATCAAGGTCCTAAATTATTTCTTTTGAATTTGAACTTGAAGTATATATTCTGCTACGCAGCTGTGAAAGATTAGTAATAATCACAGGGATACTGATAGAACGTGGGTGGGGAGGTGAAAAGTTGTAGCTTCTATCGTCAGAAAGAGTCAAGTGAACATGTCGTTACTTTGAGGCATAGCTTATATGTACTATTTGTAGTAAAGTGCAATTTTGATTCACTATTTATGTTCTTTGAACGATGGACGAGAATTTCCGCGAAGGATTTATACTTTTTGTTCTCATTAAAGGAGATATGTATGCCATGTTGTCAAACTTAGATCAAATGTCTCAACTTTCAGTGACTGAAGCCTCACTGAGCTCTCCTTACTTACAGGGCTGTTGCTCATTTATCAGTGCGTTCAGCTCTTTAAGAGAAAAGAGATGGTTAAAGAAAAATAAACTGAAAAGGGACAACCTGTGATGTAGTCGCTAGTGAAAGTCCTCGTAATCGTCAGTACAGCTGGGGAACCGAATTTCTTAGAATCGGTAAAATTATTCTGATGCCATATATGCTTTTTGGCTACGCATGTGGTCAGATCGCTCTTGCACATCATTCACTTTCGAGTGACGAAAATTGGCATACCTCTGAGCGAGTCTGCGTAACATCTGTATTGCCTATATGTGTAAAAGTGTGCGTATTTCTATCCCGCTATAGCATATCAATATCCTTGATGGACATCTGATGGTACATTCCAACTGCTCCGTTACTGTCGCTCGATTGAGCTGCAGATAATATTCCGAAGACTAAGATGACGTGATTTGCTTGAATGTTTTGATAAGAAAAATTGAAAATTCCGTGAGCTGGCTACGCTGTAGCAAAATCATCGAAACTGAAGTGTTGCACAAGCGTCAAAATGAGGACCCCCTTTCCTTTCAACAGTGGCAACTTCCTTCTTTGTTCACAGAATTCTGTCGACTTTTGGTCTCAAGGACTGTTTTCGAGAAGCCAGCTGACCCCGGAAATGGCCTTGATGTACAACTTACCCAGTCACCACAGGTTGTTATGTCGATATCGTCGCGACCGTGAACGAAATTCCATTTAACGTTCTTTTCTTCGGCGATTTCGATTCGGTAGGTTTTCTTTTCGTCTTTCTGGAACATGAGTGATTGAGAAACCACTTCCAATCAATCTGTGATGAGTGAAAGTTGAACGAAACGCTTACTTTTTCATTCTTGACAATCATCATTCCGAAATACTCAGTCGCGTAGATGTGCGCTGTGATATCAGACGCACTGTCCGACTTCCCTTGATAGTAAAGTCCACGAAGGATTTGATCCCGTTCGGTTCTCGTAACGATAGTCAATTGAGGCTCAGTGATCACATCATTATCGCAGTCGATCAAGATCGAGAACGGACATGCCTAAATGAGATTAAGCAGTCGGCAAAAGTTTCGTCCAGATCAAACAACTCCAGCAGTCCGGATTTTCTCATGACGCTTTGCGTTGATGTAATTCAATCCGCGGATTGAAGGAGCTGTAGAACAAAGCAGAGATGTGAATTGTCGGGGTGAATAATGCACTTGATGTTGCCGAGAAAGGGGTTCAACCCTATTTTTTCACATTTCAGCACGGGTGAGTTGTACACTTCACTACTTCTACTGCTCGGGAACTGCCCAGCTCACCCATAGATGTAACCTTTTGGAGAAGTTTTTGGTGAAATTTGCAAGTATAGTTGCCACGTCTGTCCAAGGATTTCGCCCCAGGAGTCTTCCCCACCAGACGGAAAAAGAAGCATTACCCCAACGACTCTATTGAAACTGTTCGCTGTTCTTTGATTAATTTAATGCTGACATTCAGGAATTAGTTCTATCAAAAGAACATACGTAATGAAGCTGAAGACTGTTATCGTAGCCGAGTCGATAGAGCGATTCCCAAATGTCTGGCACGGCCAAATCGTCACCGGAAAACGCCTCGCACTAAACAGGAAACGGAAACATCAGTTTTTATCAGAGTTAGGACAATAGGGATGGAACTGAAGTTCTCATAGATGCCGATCAGAAGACCTCACAAATACCATTATATACAGATCGACATTGAACTTTCTTTTTGAAAAACTCTTTGGACCGGAACGCTATAGCACAAGAAATAAAAAAATTAAAGATAAAGATAAAAAGCAGTTATGAGAAAAGGATTCTGGAGATCTATAGAATGCCTTTGGAAAACAGGAGAACGACTCTGAAGCGTCTATTTTTTTCTGATATTTTGGTGTGTTCGAGCTTTGCGCAGCTCGACTACCAGTCGCTAAAGGCAGAGCTCACGATCACTTATAATAAGCTAAACTCTTTATCTGGACAGCTAGTGTGAACCGGAGCAAACAATCCAGTACAAATCTTCCGTCAAAAAGTGGCAAGGTAGCGGCGGTACGCAAAATTGCCTAAGTGACTCCGCCCAATTTTATAGATGTCTCATTTACGCTCTCCTTCGTTTGCATGCTCTCTCGCTGTTCTCCTTGAGTCATTTGATTGCTTCTCTTTCGCGTGACACAAGTAGGGCTTTATTCGAAGCCTTCTCGACAATCTCCTTGCCTTTTTTCTTCGCGAGCCACTCATTTGTACATACCAATCTGTTCCTCAAATACGCCAGCCATGAACTTTTCGTTGACTCATCGCGTTCCTTTAAAAACAGTCTCCACGTTCACTCAACTCTAGAATCCACTTCTTCTCCATGTAGCCGGGTCCACATTCTCTGACATTGTCCCATTTTCGCGACTTAACAGTGGGTGATGCGGGCGCCGCGGCAGTCATTTGTAATTTGAAGTTGTATACGTTACTTTCAAGAAGCTTAGTCCATCGGGACGAGTTACAAAGCGGTAAAAGAACATGGAACAAGCCGAAGCTGCGCTTCCTCTTGTCAGATTCTTTGAAACCACACGCGCATGACTCGTCTTCTCAGACTTAATGCGCCCGCAAAAAGGTTCTTTAGAAAAGAGTGAGTAAAATAGAGCATTGTCGTGACAGAATAACGAAAAGTATTTCCATATCGCACGCCGCTGCAACACTGAAATTGGATTGATTTTCAAGAATAGTAAGGTTTTTGAAAGAAAAGAGCTGATGAGCGTTAAGCTCAATAAAGGAAGTCCCAGGAAAAGGGCACTTGGACAAGTGTGACCCCCCCCCCTCCCTGTTCGATAGAACCAACCGGTATTAACTCCTGAACACCGAGTATGCCGTCCCTAGAATAGAATAGAAGATAGAAGAATATCCCAGCATTGTCGTCAGAACGATGCTGAATCGTAGTGCATCTGGAATTCTTGACGTGTGAATCTTTGGGATTGTAGAAGTACTCCTTACAAAGCGGCATACATTTCTTTTCCATTTAGAATCGTTGTAAGTTTTGAATGTGATATGCCCTGACAATGATCAACGGGAGCGGCAAATGCACAAGTGTTTTTATGCTCTCGGGTAATATTAATAAATAACCTGGAGGGAAATCGCTGTTTGCCTGGGAGAGCGACGGTCTGGGATAGCTCAGACAGCGTGCGATTAGTAAGCGCTGCCACTTGCCTGTACACCACTATACCCTAGCAATTTTTATTGCACTAGCACTAGTTTATTTTATTGGAGTGCTTTTACTGTTCATTTGAAGGAGAATAAAGAAGCTGAAGCTGTGGAAACAGTCACTTCTCGACTTGTTCGAAATATTTCTTGGCTACTGTATGTAAGCGATAGTATCAGTGCGAACGACTCGATTCACTCTTCCGAAGCGTCCCCTATGCGGAATCTGAGGCATCTTGTTCTCCTCGAGTGCCTTTCCGGAACAGGCTCAAGTGAGGTTAGACTGACAAGGGAAGGATGGTAGGTCGAAGTGGCCATTTGAAATGAAATGTATACCGACTGAAAGGTCTTCGGACGGGGATTACGGAAACCGTCTTCCATATCTGCTGCGGACCTCCCAGGAAAAAAAAGGTTACAGAGCTTTTTAGGGGAGCATATTCGCATTCAGTGCTAATCGGCCGCGTAAGGCAGATGCGATCGTGGCAGCGTGGCGTCGTAGCACTCTCGGATGTGTGATCGAGGGTTTGGACCTTTGCTCTTTCCGAAAGTGGTCTCTGTGCACCCGAAGGCGTTTTTGCATAACTCCTGTGCTTGATATTGTCGTGACTTGATGTTTTTGAACTAATGGAGCCATTGCGAACGATTCCATGGAGAACATTCAGGGCTGATGATGTTTTCACACAACCGAAGACTTCCAGCAGGTGTGAAAGCACCACCTTGGGATAGAATATTCTCCAACACTATGTGAGTGATGAACAAAGGTCTTGCCCATCATGACTCCTGGCAAGGCTGTCAAGTCAAAGCCACCTCATGGGGAACCCTTTCCAAGAATACTCATGTTCCAGCACACCTTCGTGTGGTTTCGGATCCAGCCATGTCGTTTG